TTTTAGGAGATCCGAAAGATAGAAGGAGCCTACATGTGCTACGCCTTTGATATCATAAGATCATAATAAGTTGGGGCTGATAATTTCACATCAAATTTGTGAAAAAGTGGACCCTTCTACCTCTATTGCAACTATTATTGCTCATATCTAGTCCTCAGTTAGATACATTGTGACGTACAAAAAGACTTAGTTAGCAAAGCATCAATCAATTGAAAATATCTACGACAATTGGGAAGAATCATTCAACAAATTATCTAGCCTATTACAAGCTATGTCACAATTTCTTCCTGGTTTCTACTACTGATTGAACACACAACAACTATCTTTTATCGAGGACAAGATATACTTTAAAATACTATTCTGGACCTTTAAGTTATACATTGATGGCTTTCAGTATTGTAAACCACTAATCCAAGTGAATGGGACATTTTCATATGGCAAATATAGGGGCACCTTACTACTAATTGTTGCAAAAGATGGAAGAAACAACATACTCTCCATTGTTTTTGCAATTGTTGAAGGTGAAACTGTTGATGCTTGATTTAAAAAAAAAAAAAAACTAAGGAAATATGTCACACCTCAAGACAACTTGTGCTTAATTTTGGATTGTCACAACTCAATTCATGCAGCATACGCAAGACCTGAGAGTAGATGGACTGAGGGTAATTGTATGCATGTGTACTGCATTCGACATATTGTTTTACTAAACATGGGTAACAAAAAAGACCTTGTTAATATGAGTAACAACTTTTATTCTATCTAAACTGTTTTACTATGTCATATTGTTTATTCTTTGTTAACTTTTATTACTTCAATATACAGTATACGCAATAACTGAGTCCAGAACAAACTACTACTACAACATCATAAGACAAGCCAATCCAGAAACAACATCCTGGATTGACGAAATTCCAAGGAATAAATAGGCACTTGCATATGATGATGGTAGAAGATAGGATCACCTAACAATCAACTTAACTAAATTCATCAATTCAGTCCTAAAGAAAATAAGGAATCTACCAATTTCCTCTATGGTCATGACCACATACACAAGATGCAACAAATTTTTCACAGAAAGAGGGAGACAAATCACAACAATGATTAATGTTGGTCATGTCCATTTAGAAGTTGCATCAAAAATCTTACAAGATGGTTATACAAAATCAAACACTCATAAGGTGCTTGAATTCGATAAAAACAACACAAGATTCTTGGTAAAGGAGATCGTCAACCCAAGAGAAGTTTGACCTGGTAATTTTGTTGTTAGACTAGATGAAGCTTGGTGTGATTGTGGGAAGTTCAAAAAACTTCATCTACCATTCTCATGTGGTCGTAGCGTGCAAACATGCTTACCATAATTATGAGATCTACATCAATCTTGTTTACAAGTTGGATGTAGTAAACAAAGTGTATGAAATCATTGTCATCATATCAAGACCCATAAATTTGCCCCAACCCAACAACAACAACAAGAAGTTTCAAGGGTCGTCTGAAGTCAACACAAATTAAGACTGAAATGGATATCCGTAAAGAAGGTCATCCAAAGAAATGCTCCTATTGTTATACTCCAGGTCATACAAGAAATCATTGTCCACCCAACTTTGCCTTAGGGAATCAACTTCTCATAGATAAATCTATTGTAGTTTTGTAATATAAGATTACAATTAATAAATAAATAATTATTCTACTTATTTATGGTTTTCTAACTTACTTATTCATGTTTCATTGATTTAATATCTAAAATATTAATTCACTTTAATTCAAAGTATATATCTTACTCAAATTATGTAATTCAAATTTCTATTTATACAAAATTTTAAATAAATATTTATACCAAATCTATTTTATATTGTATCAAAATTAAATCAAATTATTTTTTGTATAAAATTATATTTATTTACTAAACATCTTTTTTATTAAATAAATACTTAAATATTATATAAAAATTAGATTATATATATATATATTTACTATATTTATAAAAATATATTAATAATATTATTATATAAATATATTTTTATGTTATATAAAAAAATATTTATATTTATTTCATATAATTATATAAATAAAATTTTAAAAAATATATGATATTTATATATTTATTTTATATATATATATATTATATTTAATTTTTATATTTAATAAATATTATTATATTTTAAAAATTTATTAATTTTTAAAGTCAGAATTCGGTGTTCCAAACCCTAAAATATATGCTAGGTACGTAAATTTTATAAATAATGTGTTCCGTGTTTGATTGCAAAAAATGTCTAACCCAATATCTTAAAATAACTTTTATTGTAATATAGAGAAACAAATTAATTATAAAAAAAAATCTATATTTACATGATTGAAGATAACAACAATAAAAATAAAAATCATAAAATAAAAGATATTTAGTTTTTATAAAGCTAAAAAAAAAAGATGAGATCATAATTCATATCCTTAAAATTTCTCTTTTATTTTTATTAATTTTTTTTAATAACAATATATCTCTTTGAACTTTTATCATCTCACCTTATTGTATTACAACCCATCATATGACATATATCAAAATTATATATTTTATATCAATTTTATATTTAAAATCATTTTAAATATGTGATTTAAAATATAAAACACAATTTAGTCAAAAGTTCTTTTAATAAGATATATAAATAAAATGATTTGTTTAATTTAAAAAACAAAAGAAAAAAAGAAATAATTACAATTTTTGAAATATTTAATTGATTTATATGATATGACTTTTTTAAAAATATTAAGAATATCACATCAATAAATAAAACAAAAAAGTTCTATTTTTAAAATAAATAAAATATTGTTGAAAACTTTTTTTTCTAACTATATTACCGTGTAATAAGTAGTTGAAAGTCACCATTATTTAATGACAAAGAAATTCATCAAGATATTATAATTTATTTTCAATCTTAAACTGTATATATTGGTTTGAGTAGAACTATCATCAATTTTTTCAAGTAAAAATGTCAGATTTAAGTTTTAAATACGAAATCGTGATTATGGTCAAGATAGTTAGCTGGAATTTAAGATTAGTTAGGAAAAAAATTATTAATATTTTAATACAATGACACAATCATGTTTCTATAATTTTTTTTTCAAATATTTGTTTTTAATTTTTTACATAAGAAGTGCGATACTAACTGTTATTATAATACTTTTTGTTTAAAATGTCTTAACTTATTATCATATTTGCATGTGCAGATCGAGGGGATTATTTTTATTATTATTATTTTTAGGTGGATTGATGTTAATATTTCACAAGTCTTTGTATAATTATATTTATTATTATTATTATTATGGACCTTTGGCCAAGCAATTTTTTATTATTATTGTTAGGTTAGAAATAAATACAGGGAGGCTGTGTGAAAGGATTGTTGATATCATGTGCTATGACAGCAAGCTCTACTTCTCAATTCCAGCTACCCAAGATTCCATCAGATTATTTCCTAACTTTAAATCACCAAATTCTTTAACTTTAGTCATCATCAAACCCTTTAAAACCACTTTCAATTTTCTTGCTTTGTGTATAAAAAATAAAAAATCAAAGGTTGTAAACCAGAAGTCACAAGTTATATATAAAACTACTTTCTATTTTTGTCTTTGGTGTGGATCCACTTTAAAATTTTCCTCAAATCCAATGATTTTATTTGTTGAATGACATTTATGATATTTGTTAATGGCATAAGATAGAAAATGATATATTATTAATTTTTTCACGAATACAATTACGTAAATAACTTATCATATAACCGATTTAATTGAAAATATCTAACAATATGTTTTAAAATTTTAATTTTAATTAATTTGATATAAAATTAAGAAAAATAAAAACTGATTAAATTTTTTAGTCAAACAAATTTTAAAAAATCAAGATTTTTTATAAAATATAATAATTTATATTTTTTTATCTTATAAGACAATTAATTTTAAATAATATTTATTTAACTTTGATAATTATTAATTTTTTTATTATTTACTATAATTTGTAATATTTATTATAATTTAAAACTATCATAATACAATAACTTTGTTGTTATTTTTTTTTCATAAAAAATTATTTTTTATTAATAAATTTATTTTATTATAAAAATATAATTTTACTAAATTTGTTTACATCTGATTTTATTTTTAAATTCTGAACTAATGACTTTTTCAATTTAACACTTAGTCTGATTTAAAAAACAAAACCATTAAATACAGCATACAATAAAAAAAATATAACAATAATTGAACTTGTAAATAAGTTTAAAAAGTATTGTAGGAAGCTTTATATTTCGTAAAAAATACTTAATAAGACATACTACTTTTTTCTATTTAAATCCCATAAAAAAAGAAAAACATAATATCTTGTAGTCCCATCCAGGGACCACTGAGTAGTCCAAGGTAGGGCCCACTCAGTAGTTGAATGTCGTTGATGAGGCCCACTGAGGAGCCACGTTACCTAAATGTGCAGGCCCACAAACAAGGCAGAGGAGAAAGATATATCAAATAATTCAATCTTTCACGATCTCACCGTCCAGCAAGAAATCGTGGGAAGATGTGATGAAGAATCACAAATTTATTATACTGTGAGTAATTAAAAAAAACAATAACTTTGAAAAACAGCAATTCCAAGTTATGTGCAGTGGTGCACTGTCCACGTGTAAGCGTACGATGCTGTTAGAGCCAAATTTAAATTGGAACCAATTTTTTTTATTGACAAAAAAAAAAAGTGGTAAAAATGACATGGAAAACTGTGGATCTGCCAGCACAAAAACACACACTGTGTCTCCCCGACGACGCAACACAAATCCAAAACCAGAAGTTAACAAAAACCGCACTCTAACTCAAACCAAACTATCACGTGACTTCACTCCTTCGTTCCACGCTATACTAAACCTTTAGTACTTCTCTGCTTTCTATATTAAAACACTCTCTTTCGCTCCCGGGTGTAAAGTCAAAACTATATACACTCGGCGCACGGGATCACGCGAATACTTTCCATGGCGGTCACTGGCGGCGACGACGACAATGGCGTCATCTATCTTCATGGTGACCTTGATTTGAAAATCATCAAGGCGCGGCAGTTGCCGAACATGGACATCTTCTCGGAGCGTCTCCGTCGCTGCGTAACAGCCTGTGACACTATCAAATTCCACTCTGACGACGTCTCCGCCCACGGCGGAAGCCAGCGGACGCGCCACCACAGGAGGATCATCACGAGCGACCCGTACGTGACGGTTTCAGTGCCGCAGGCGACTGTGGCGCGCACGCGAGTGCTGAAGAACTCCCAGGACCCTGAGTGGAACGAGCAGTTCCACATCCCACTCGCGCATCCAGTTGTGGATTTGGAGTTTCGAGTGAAGGACGACGACGTTTTCGGCGCGCAGATGATGGGAACCGTGAAGATTCCGGCGCGGCTGATTGCCACTGGCCAGTTAATTAACGACTGGTTTCCTATCATTGGACCGTCCGGGAAGCCGGCGAAGCGAGACACGGCGTTGCACGTGCAGATGAAATTCACGCCGGTGGAGGAGAATTTGCTTTACCAGCGAGGCATTGCGGCGGATCCGGAGCACCGCGGAGTGAGGAACACGTATTTTCCGGTGAGAAAGGGGAGTTCAGTAAGGTTGTATCAGGATGCGCAATGTCCCGAATCTGGCAAAGGGAAGTTACCGGAGGTAAAGCTTGAGAATGGAGAGGTTTATAGGCACGGGAAGTGTTGGGAGGATATTTGTTATGCCATATCTGAGGCTCATCACATGGTGTATTTGGTGGGTTGGTCGATTTACCATAAGGTGAAGCTTGTTAGAGAGCCTACTAGGACCTTGCCACGAGATGATTTGACGCTTGGAGAGTTGCTGAAGTATAAGTCTGAAGAAGGAGTGAGAGTGCTGTTGCTGGTTTGGGATGATAAAACTTCGCACGATAAGATTTTACTCAAGACGGTTAGGATTTTGCTCTACTTGGCATTGGCATTTTACATTGTTTCCTTTTTGTAATCGGTGAGAATGCTTGATTGGTTGCTGATTGCTCTGATACTTTTTGTGCAGACTGGTGTGATGCAGACTCATGATGAGGAAACCAGGAAGTTTTTTAAACATTCTTCAGTAATGTGTGTTTTGTCGCCTCGGTATGCCAGCAGCAAGATGAGTTTCTTGAAGCAACAGGCAAGTGTTTGGATCATTCAGGGTTTGATTCACTTTCACTCTAGAACAAGTCCACACTACTCAGGGATCAATTTCTCTTATAAAATCTATAAGTTCTGAAAATTGTTTTCAAAACAAGTGTTTACAAACCAAAAACAGGAACAGCTAAAAGATGTTTTCTCGTTCTCTTCTTCTGTTTTCTTCAAGTGCTCCGAGACCGTGACAAACTCTTAGAAAACAGAAATGTACACAGGAAAAAAGGGAACAGACTCTTTCAAATGTAATAACTAAGGGAGCAATAAAATATTAGAGAACAAAAAACTCTTTTTGAAAAAAGTAAACCAACTAGGCCTGAGTAATGTGGTTTCGAATTGAGTTTGGAAACCTCTGATTGATGATTTGATGGTGTGTTAAATGATAATAATGTAGTCAACTCTTGTTGCCTTATGTTTTTATATATATATTGCTCTCTTGTCGTTTGTGTTTTGTTGTTTCATAGTCTTGATAGTGCCTCCTGTATGTTGTTAGTAGATAGGATTCTTTTTGAGCTAGCTTTCAGTGGAATCTAATATGAAATGTCCTGTGTTTTATGGCCTAAGCTCTAGACATTGGGTATGTAATTTGTAGATGCAAATTTAGTGTGGGAAATATACCTTCACCTGTTAATTTAACTGTTTGAAGTTATAAGATATGCTTTTGTTTATTCATTTTCTCCTCACATTTCTGCCTGTAATTGGTCATCGTGTTTAAGTGGTTTCTTCTCTTTTGAGATATCATGGAGTTGTTTTTTATATGCTATTATACAGGTTGTTGGAACGGTCTTCACACACCACCAAAAATGTGTGATTGTGGACACACAGGCTGCTGGGAATAACCGGAAGATAACTGCTTTTATTGGAGGTCTTGATCTATGTGATGGTCGCTATGACACGCCTGAGCATCGTCTTTTTCGTGATCTTGACACTGTATTTTCTGGTGATTTCCACAATCCTACATTTCCTGTAAGTTTCGGTCCAATTGGGCATATTAATTTGTTTAGTGTTTCATTTGTTCTTTCATTTTATTAAGAATCAGGATGCACCTGTTTTTAACTATTTCCATCCGAACATATTTTTGGTTATGTTATTCATTGTTTCTGCGTTGAACCCTTGGTGGGAATGGACATTGTTGTGGATCCTCTATTAATCCTGATTTGTCCCCAAGTTACAGGGTTGAATTGGATAGATACATCATTAGATTCTATTTAAATTCTGTTTAGAGACTCTAATGTGGTATTTTGGTCACCAAGTATATTGAAGGTTCGCCATAAAATTTGTATCTTGTAATATGGCTCATAAGCACCTATAGTGTGGGATTTTGAAGAGTTACACCATTCCTTTAGTTGGGGTTTATTACACCGACTTAATATTCCTTTCCAAATCCCCACCTACCTCTAACCATTGAATTCAAATTTGCAATACTCAGATAGAAAAGTTATTTGGGGCAAAGATAGTTTCTGTGATGTGTGCTGTCCAGGGAAGCCTTGTGTTAGTCCACCAGAGCTGAATCTTGATTCTTGAGTCAGCTCATAGGTTACGCCTTAATCCCATTATTACAAGCATTTTCTTACCGTTTTTGACTGACAAATTCTCAGTTGGAACTTTGTTTAGACTTTAGAGATTAGAGTAACCTAGTTGTGATATTTACTTCCATATAACGTTCTAGAACAATCCTAGATATCAAATTTATTGGACTCAATTTGATAATCAAATTCTAAGGAGCTAATTGTAATTGTTAGCTCCAACATCTAATTCCTTCCTTTTTTCTATGCTGCCCTTGTGGCCTTGTTTCTAGGACCAAGTTAAGGACCTAGTTAAAGATTGGTAATAACTAGCAGTTTTTTATTGTCTTTCGTCATAATTGTAGGATAGGATAATTATTTTTTACTTTTTTTTAGATTTCATATCTATGAATTATTAAGTGTTGAAGTCAATTATCTTTTGCTTTTTGCTATTTTTACATTGTAGGTAGTATTGTTTCATTACATTATTGTAAGACTATGGCTTTTCTTTTTCTCTCTCCTGTTTTTCAAAAAAAAAAAAAATTGAATGATTATCTGATTTGTTGTTACTTCTCAGCTCTCACAACCACTTATATATTGTATGTAGGCTGGAACAAATGCACCTAGAGAACCATGGCATGATTTGCACTGCAGAATAGATGGACCTGCTGCATATGATGTTCTTATTAATTTTGAGCAGCGATGGAAGAAGGCAACTAAATGGAAGGAGTTTGCAATCCTTTTCAAAAAATCCTCTCAATGGCATGATGATGCTTTAATAAGAATAGAACGCATCTCATGGATATTAAGTCCATCAGTTTCCCACTCGGAGGATAATTATACAGTCGTTCCAGAGGATGACCCTTCATTATGGGTTTCTAGTGAAAATGATCCTGAAAACTGGCATGTTCAGGTTTGACACTGCAAGCTTAGTTCTGAGCAAATCTTATGCTATTCTTTCTTGATTTTAGATATAATTTGTTTCATTACATTGTTTTCCAACTCTTACAGATCTTCCGCTCCATTGACTCAGGGTCCCTAAAAGGATTTCCCAAACATGTTGATGTTGCTCTGTCCCAGGTTTATCAACCAGCATTATACTTTCTTGTTTACAAAAAACTCCAAATATATTAAGTGAAACTCTGTACTACATGCTTCCAAATCAAACATATATATTGAGTATAGGATCTTATATATGGAATTGATTGGAACTGTATTCCGCATTTTCTAATTAACAATTTTTTAGTGCAGAATCTTATTTGTGCTAAAAATTTGGTTATAGACAAAAGCATTCAAACAGCATATATTCAAGCGATCAGATCTGCTCAACACTTTATTTATATTGAAAACCAATACTTCATTGGATCATCGTATGCATGGCCAAATTATAAAGATGCAGGTTAGGCTTCAATTCTTGGTTTTTAAAAGCAGGATAATTGTCTGTAGTTTAGTGAGTTAGTTTACTCTGTTAGGCAGAAAAAAGACATTCCGTAAAATTTGATTCATTGATCTTAGAGGGAAAAAATAGAAAGTTGAATGCATAAATTTTAAATCTATATTTTTTTTTCACTAGCTGATCAGGCAGAGCAAAGAATTGTTGGTTTGGTGTGAAATAGGTTCAAATCTGAGTAAATGATGGTAATCATGTTATTATATTTATTTTATTTTAGCCCCAAAGAACCTGTTTACTCCCAAGCCTTTCCAATTTTCTTCTTTATCTAAAGAAAACTTCTTTTTATTAGTTTTCTTAATTAGTGGTATTATTTTATTTGATTTAGTAACTAATTGACTTGTTGCTCCCCTTGTTCATAAGATATAGTTTCAGAATCCTTGGTTTGTACTTCTTTTGTCTGCAACAGAAAAAGAAGAAAAAAAAAAATTCAAGTCAATGAGATGTCTCATTTGTCTTCTGATGTCAGGGGCTGATAATCTCATCCCAATGGAGTTGGCACTGAAAATTACTAGTAAAATCAGAGCTAAGGAAAGATTTGCTGTCTATGTTGTTTTACCAATGTGGCCAGAAGGTGATCCTAAAACTGGGGCTATGCAAGAAATCCTCTTTTGGCAGGTATCAGATTGTCTATGGTGTTGTAGTTTATTTTCCAATGATGGAAATTTGAAATGTGTGAATATGATGCCTAAGGATTCTGCTTCTCTAAGTGCACTTCATAGAGTACAGTATAATTGTTCATGAGCAGTTCAAGGGAGTGAGTTCTCACAAATGCATTGGAATCAGAATAGGAACGATAAAACTAAAGTAATACTAATAATGAATTAGAACTATATCAGAGATATAAACCACTGTTACAATGATGCAAGCTGGGTAAATATTAAAAAAAAAAAAAAAAAACTGGGGTAATAGCTGGAGAATAGCTCTGTGAAAGATGAACAAACGAAAATAAATATAACAGAATTTAGAGAACCCCTTTCCTGAGCAAGACCAGCTTCTTTACTCAGCCTAGCCAATATTGATACCAATTTCCTCATATCATTCCTAATTAGGGTAAGTAGAGACATTTTATTATACAACATCTTTTTACTCCATTTTGATACCAATTTCCTTGCTAGCACTCCAATAGTAGATGATATTTGTACATATCACCTAACAGCGTCTTCTGAACTCATGATTACATTTCCTTTTATATTTTTATGAACAAATTTTATCTTGACTTTTGAAATACTCTAGTTCTCTTAGTCTTACATATTGATACCAATTTCCTCATATAATCCTTTTCTCTCCCTCTTGATTTCTGATTCCCTTCACTTCTCCCTCTGTCGCCATGTTTTCTTTCTCGCATTCCTACTAATTCCCCTTGTTCAATATGTTCCCTCCTCTCATACACTAAAGGACCTGCATCCTTTGGCCCATTTTCCATTTCGGCTGAACCCTCTTTCTTTTGTTACTAAAAACCTTTCTAATGAGCCTATCAATACTTGTTTGGTTTTCCATGTGGTTGTATCTTATCAAAGTCAACCATTTATTATTTCATCAATGCTTACCTAACTCGCATTTTATTCTGCAAAGTGTACCGTCCATGTTAGAGGATCCTTCTAAAGTTTAGTGCTTCGAAAGATCATATATAATATTAACAATTAAAAAAAAAGAAAATGTTTGTTCTCAAATCTCTGTTTTTGTTATGCAGAGCCAAACGATGCACGCAATGTATGATGTAGTTGCTAAAGAATTGAAAGCAATGCAACTTACTGATAGGCATCCACAAGATTACCTCAATTTTTATTGCCTTGGTAATCGAGAAGACTTTAATGAAGAAAGTTCATGCACAAATGGTGCACAGGTTATTTTTCTAAAATAATATTATATCCATCTTGTTTATATCTTTAGTACACCGTAATTCTTTTCTTTTAAGCTTCTTTAAAATGTAGTTTATTGACATATTAAACCGTACAAGGTTGCTTTATATCATATGCTGCTGTACATGATCAAATTTTCTTTATATTCACAATAATAATAGTAATGTCTTGCTAGTAATATCACTTCACGCACAAACAAAAAGATTTATTCTAAATTATTATTTTGTTTGTTGTCCTAAGCATGTATTATAGTGAAAAACATTGGTTACTTTATTTCATACATCAGGACTCAATATAGGCAGCATCTTCTAAATCAATGTTGAATTTTATTTGTCAATTGTAATATACAACATTTTGGTATAAAGCTTTGGCCATTTTTTGAGTGAACATAATACTATAATCTTCTAGGTTATCCCTTTACACGGTCCTTGGCCTCAAAATTAAAATAGCAAGAGATGTGCATTTGCGTAGATGATCACCCAGGCTCCATTTGCAGTTCAATTAAATCTGCCCATAGTTAAAATGCCTTTAGCTTTTGCTTTCACTATGGTTCTGGGACATGATAGGCTTGACATGTGAATTAATATGTGCTATTCTTTTAATGGGCTTGGCTACTAATATACTTATATTCTATGATCAAATAGTACAAAAAATTTGATGGAATCCCTCTTTTCCCTACATTGTTCTAATTACCGTAAGGAAGATTTTTTATAAGATAATATCTTTTTACTCCATTTTGATAGTTGAGACCGAGGATAGATTTTTTTCATTATTATATATCGCGAAGTTTTATCTTGACTTTTCGAATACTTCTCTAGTTCTCTTACATACAGACTGAACCAAAATGGGTTATGTGTATATATTTCGTGTCAGGTCTCTGGAGCCTATAAACATCGCCGATTTATGATTTATGTGCATGCAAAGGGGATGATTGTTGATGATGAGTACGTTATAATTGGATCTGCTAATATAAACCAAAGATCTATGGCTGGTACTAAAGATACCGAGATAGCTATGGGCGCGTATCAACCCCATTACACATGGTCAACAAAGCAAAGACATCCATATGGCCAGGTTTGTATTTCTTCGTAAGCTTTTTATTCTTGAAGCAATTTTTCTAATTGAAAATGTGATATTATTATCTAAATTGACTATAATTTATCAAATTACTGGATGATTTATAGGCGTAGTTAGACATGGAAATCAACCTTATCTTACTACAGAATGTGAACTTCCCAAATTAGTGAATCACTAAACGATGTCATGGATAAGTAACCAAATAAAACAACACTGCTAGTTGACATTCCACCTATGTATCTCCTGTACCTTGTCTGTTTGGAGAAAATTGATTGATGCCTTTAATAGTTAGAACCTCTTAGCTTTTGTGTGCCAATATGCCATGTGATATTCTATGTTTTAAATTCAATAGTTTTTGTTTCTGCAGATTTATGGTTACAGAATGTCACTATGGGCAGAGCATCTTGGCATGTTAGATGAAACTTTTGAGGAACCAGAGAGTTTGGAGTGTGTGCATAAAGTGAATGAAATTGCTGTCAATAATTGGAAATTATTCCTTTCTGAAGATTTCTCACTTCTGCAAGGACATCTTCTTAAGTATCCTGTAGAGGTAGATTCCGATGGGAAGATTAGATCCCTACCCAATTGTGAGAATTTCCCGGATGCTGGCGGTAAGATATTGGGGGCTCACTCAACAACTATTCCAGATATCCTAACAACTTAAACTCCTGAGTTCATGTTGTCAAGATTTGTATAGATTATATGATGTGTTGTGGCCTGTCCCTTCCTGAGAAAGATGACAGAAAAAGAAGTTGGGGTGAATTTCTTAGCTTTATGTACTTGATTTATTGTTCGGTTGATTTGTAAATCTTTCATGCGGTATTGATTCATATTTTGAATAGGTTATGTCCATTACCCTGTCATTTATGTGGTTATAGTTTTATGCGTCTGATCTGCATTCATAGATTGCATTCCCCCAATGAAATGCACTTTTCTTAAGTAGCAAAATCTCCTTGTGGGTATTAAGTAGTACATACATGATATTATTACAAAAAATGAGAACACTTAAATAATGTACTATCCTCTTCCCTTGTTTGCACGAATATTGTACTTCCACGAGAACCGTTTTGATTTGAATGAACATTTGAACAGTTACACTATCATTACTAAGCAACAACCTAACAAAATCATTTTATGCCAATCAGGAGGAACAAGGACAAGTAAAAAGGACATGAACTGTATATCTTGTAAATTACCACAAAAAAAAGTAGTACCAGAACATTGCATTTTGCAGTGTTGTAATAGCCAATGCTATGGAGTCTAAGAATGACGATATAATTTGGATTGCCTCTTCCATTTCTTTCTCTTGTAACGGGATTGATGGTCTAAGGATGCGATAAGTTTAGGGGTGGAATAAAATGAATAAAAGAGTAGGCTTTATCAGTGGACAACAATTGGATCGTGTCTTTCACATTGCCCCACAAAATAAAAAGTATAAGTATGGAATATTTAGGGAGAATTTGTTTTCGTGAAATAGAAGAACAGTTTAGTGCGGTGCAATAGTCACTTGTTCATTTAAAATCTAATCCGATTCATTAGTTTCTATTTAAGATCATTGTTAAGGTATTTTTAGGAGTAAATTTTAAAGAGTTATTTTTGAGAATAAGTTAAAAAACTTCTAGTTTAAAAGTGTTTTAATAGGAAGAGATAAGTTGGAACATTAAATAAAATCAATGGTATAAAGTTTTGTATATAATAAATTAAAATAATAATTTTAAATTGCAAAGATTTTTAATATATATATATATATATATATATATATATATATATATAAAGATAATTCAGACCGTTGATTTAGTTTTATTTTTAAAAGTAATTTTGAACAATTATTTTTTGGAATTGGTAAAGAAAAAATTGTTTAATTAAAGTTTATTCTAAAAATAAGAGAATGATATCGACTTTAAAAAGAGTTAAGAAAAAAATGGAATAATATTGATAATTTTATTAAAATGAAAATGGATAATATATTATAATAATAGTTTTATTTTTTTAAAATAAAACACACACAAAAATTTAGAAATTATTTTAACAAAATAATTATTAAATATATTTTTAATTTTAAAAAAAATGTGAATAGTTTTTGACGTTGAGGGGAAAACTATGTAAATAAGCTATTACTTTGAGGTAGCATGCTCAAATAAACATCTCAAGAAAGTTCATAGTATTAACGATTGCATAAGATAGAAATATTTGAGTGAATAATTTTTTATTGGTTGAGGTTGATTGAATGTAGAAAATAATTTGACAATAATAAATAAATTTCAAAATTTGTTATGCTTAACGCAAGAAAAGTCATGTGGGTCATGTGGAGAGTATTAAAAGAGAGTAAAGATGAATTGAAAATACATCCATTACTTTCCAGAGTCATTATTTACAAATATAAATAATTATTTATTATTTTACATTATTATTGGAAAAAATTGTAAAGAACTTTCATATTTTCTTAATAATATGACATGTGAGATTTAAGTTATGAATCCTCACTTGAGGTTAGAAAGTGTATTTTTTTGGAGTTTTCTTATTGTTCCTAAATTTTTTTTTATAGACTTAGTTTATCTGATTAAAAAATAATCTATTTATTTATTCATTTTTTATTATTGATTTTTCATCTTTATTTCAAAGGTTTACACTTAAAAAGTTATCATAAAAATGATATATTTTCTTATTCAATCCATTCTTCTCATTCATATTTTTCTATGACTTATTCAAAGTATCTTAATTTATATTTGAGCAAAGAAATTTATATAAGATAATTTATTTAAATAGAGAAATTGAAATAGGCTATTGTAAAATAGGTTGTTTGACAATTTCTTTTTTAAAAGAAATTTAATCTTTATAAATTTATGAAAGTAATTTGATTACTTAAAATTAAACAATTTTAATTTAATTTAAAATTATTTAACTTAAATAAATATAACTTAGCTTGATCATGTTAGTCAATTTCAATCCAATCCAATTTAATCTAACTTATTTTAATAAGAAATGTGTCAAACAAACTCTTTTTCTATTTAACTTAATCAAGACAATTTCATCTTAATTTATTATGATTGAGACTCATTGTAATCCTACTAACTTATATCAACCTAATAGAAACAAATTAAGTTCGACCCACTTGACTTATATTGATTCAACGCTATCTTACATACCTTATCTTGACTCTGATTTGATCTTACTCAACTTGATTCGTCCTTAATCGATCTTCTTGACCCAATCTCAATTATATAAGATATTTTCATCTCAATCCGACATATGATAATTTACTTCAATCTAACTTATCTTTACATAATTCAACTTATCTTTACTTGACTCATTTTAACCTTATCTTCTATATCATATCTCATTCATTTTTGATCTTAATATCTCATGTTGTCTCAATATGACCTAAGATGATGATATTTTTTTTATGTTGAATAATAGTTGAAATATCCATTCCAAATTAAAAAAAATCAATAAAATAAAAATACCTTATGTAGAGAAATCATTTAATGAAACAATTTAAATTTAATATATTTAAATTTTTTGAACATGAAAAGATTTTCTATCCATCAGATTATTATTATTATTAATGAATTTGTTCCTGTCAAAGTTTAGCCTAGAGGTAGGTGTTGAAGTTAGGCAATGGTTGAGTTGTGATGTGTTCGGTGTTTAGTGCTTACCCTAGACAATTAACCTTGTTGTATTGTTGACCAAGGACGTTGATCTGGGTAGGTGGGTTATGGGTCCACAACCCTCCCAGTCCCAAGCCAGGGTGAAAGGACTGACAAGAACAACTTCGAGTTACATGTTGTCTAGAATGGTCCCCCACTGAGATCTAGCTCAGATTCTGTGTCCATATCCCAGAGCATCAAAAATGAATTTCTGAACTGGGGTATCCTGAAAACGATTTAATATTTTCATAGAATAATCCATGCCTACTCATTCGTAGCAAGATATTGATGGATTTTATATATAATTAATGTATTTTATTAATTAATTATTAATAATTAATATGATTTTTTTAAAATAAAATAAATATATCTTAATATAATTTATTATTTTAATTATGTATTTTAATTATTTATTTATTTATTTTTGCAGGAATAATAAATTTAAAAAATTATAAAAGCAAATTTAATTCTATTAAGGGATTTTTAATTTGCTCACCAAACCAAGAATTCTTTTTGAAATCGAAGAATTGAGTGAGTGCAAATTTACTAAGCGAAACATATTTTTACTACTTAAGATTTATTATGTAATGAAATTTATTCAATTTAAAAAAATTTCTTATTGTATAAATAAATATTTGAAGACCAAATGATATAATTTAAGTTTAAATCACAAATTAATTCTTAAGTTTTTTTTTCTCAAATTTTTTTAGTATTGTTTAGCTTTTGTTCATAAAATTTTTTGTATTAATTGTGTTATGAAGTTTATCGACTACAGTTGCTATTAATTATATATATTTCATCATCTCTCTTTTTTTTCTTCGTTTTACTATTTGTTTTTATTTTCTACTTTTTTTTCTATTTCGTTTCTTTACTGTTTTTAGGTTGTTTTTTATTTTTCACTTATTTATTATGTTTTAATTTATTTTTGTTATTGATTTACATATTAAAATTTATTTTTATGATTTATATTTATTCTTAATAATTCTAACATATTATAATTTATTAATTTATTAATGTAATTAAAATTATTTAATTAATGTCTCTTTTACATTATATTTTAATTTCTAAATTTAAGTGATTATTTAATTTAAGTGATTATTTGATTTAAAAATTAAGTTATGTGACCAAATTTCAATTAGATTTTAAATAATTGGAAACTATTATAAAATTATTTTTGTAATTATATGATAAATCTTAATCAATTATGATTAGAAAATCAATCCTGTATTTTTATTATCTTAATCAATTTTCATTTTAATTGTGATTTTGATTCTGATTTTATTTTAAGAATAATTAATTTACAACGTTTTTTAAAACCTTCACAGTTTTCTAGAAGTAGATTTAATTTAATACTTTTATTATGTATTTACATCTTTCTTAAATTAGATTTACACTCATCTAAATGTTTTCTTTAATGTCTTCGATTAATTCTTTAGTTTACTGTTTTTAATTTATTTTTCTATATTAAAAATCATAAATACCTATTTTCTAATATTTGACATTTCAAAATGAAAATTTAAAGAAAACTAAGCCATCCTCTTCGAACCTAGGTCAGACATTATTTCTTTAGTACAAAATTCATTTCATGAACATCTCTGACTCGATGAAACTTAAGCATGGTATTAGATCAATAGGTGAAGCGGGAAATCATGTTTTCAACTATAATCGGCAGATTATTCATCTTGGGAAATTGGGAAAAGTTGAAGATGCCCGCAGAATCTTCTCTAACATGACCCACAAAAACCTTGTAACATATAATTCCATGATATCCGTGTTAGCAAAAAATGCTAGAATCAGTGACGCTAGACAATTTTTTGATAAAATGTCCATAAAAAACCTTGTTTCTTGGAATTCCATGATTGCCGGGTATCTTCACAACGACATGGTTGAAGAAGCCAGTGAGTTGTTTGATGCAATGCCTGAAAGAGATAATTTTTCATGGGCTTTAATGATAACATGCTATACACGTAAAGGGAAGCTTGAAAAGGCTAGAGAATCGCTTGAGTTGGTTCCTGATAAGTTGGACACTGCATGTTGGAATGCAATGATAGCTGGTTATGCAAAGAAGGGTCAGTTCAATGATGCTGAGAAAGTGTTTGAGCAGATGCCGGCAAAGGATTTGGTTTCTTACAACTCAATGTTGGCTGGGTATACTCAAAATGGGAAAATGCATTTAGCATTACAATTTTTTGAGAAGATGGCTATGAGGAATGTGGTTTCGTGGAATTTGATGGTGGCTGGATATGTTAACAGTGGTGACCTGAGTTCTGCTTGGCAATTGTTTGAAAATATTCCAAATCCTAATGTTGTTTCTTGGGTTACAATGTTGTGTGGGTTTGCACGATACGGAAAGATTGTAGAGGCCAGGGAACTTTTTGACAGGATTCCCAGAAAGAATTTGGTTTCTTGGAATGCAATGATTGCAGCCTATGTCCAAGAGTTACAAATTGATGAAGCTGTTAAGCTGTTCATGAAAATGCCGCATAAAGATAGAGTCTCATGGACTACATTAATTAATGGGTACATTCGAGTTGGTAAGCTTGATGAAGCACAGGAAGTTTACAATCAAATGCCTTGCAAAGACATTGCAGCAAAAACAACATTGATGTCTGGATTAATACAAAATGGAAGGATAGATGAGGCTAATAAAATGTTTAGTCAAATTCGTGCACGTGATGTTATTTGTTGGAACAACATGATTGCAGGCTATTCCCAGAGTGGAAGAATGGATGAAGCTCTCAATTTATTTAGACAAATGCCCATTAAGAATGTTGTTTCATGGAATACTATGATTTCTGGATATGCTCAAGCAAAACAAATGGATAGAGCAACAAAGATCTTTCAGGCCATGAGGGAGAAGAATTTAGTTTCCTGGAATTCTCTTATTTCAGGTTTCCTACAAAATTATCTATACTCAGATGCTCTTAAGAGCGTGGTTATGATGGGGCAGGATGGAAAGAAACCCGATCAATCAACTTTTGCATGTGCCTTAAGTGCATGTGCTAATCTTGCTGCATTACAACTAGGCAAACAACTTCACGAATACATTCTGAAGAGCGGTTATATGAATGATTTATTTGTCAATAATGCCCTGATTAGTATGTATGCGAAATGTGGTAGGGTACAAAATGCTGAACAAGTGTTTAGAGACATTGAATGTGTTGATCTTATTTCCTGGAATTCCTTGATTTCAGGATATGCATTGAATGGATGTGCAAATAAGTCATTTGAGGCTTTCAGACAAATGTTATCAGAGGGAGCGATTCCTGATGAGGTTACTTTTATTGGGATTTTGTCAGCATGTAGTCATGTTGGCTTAGCAAACGAGGGTTTGGTCTTTTTTAAATGTATGATTGAAGATTTTGCTATTGAACCCTTGGCTGAACACTACAGCTGCCTTGTTGACTTGTTTGGTCGCATGGGTAGACTAGATGAAGCATTCAATATTGTAAGGGAGATGAAGGTGAAACCAAATGCTGGATTATGGGGTTCATTGCTTTGGGCTTGTCGTGTACACAGAAACCTGGAACTTGGCATATTTGCCGCGGAGAAACTTTTTGAACTCGAACCTGATAATACCTCCAATTACATTACCTTGTCAAACATGCATGCTGAGGCTGGTAGATGGAAAGAGGTTGAAAGATTAAGGATGCTGATGAGAGAGAAAAAAGCTGGAAAGCAATCTGGTTGCAGCTGGATAGAAGTGCAAAATCAGATAAAACATTTTCTGTCGCATGATCTAGCAAAACAGAGACCTGAAAATATTCAGATTATATTGAATACTTTAGCCGCACACATGAGAGATAAATGTAACATATCTGACATGGAATCAGTTTATGACATTTTATGACAGAGGTACTCATAACTTCATAGTTTTTGAACTTCTTTGAAAGGTAAAGTGAATTTCAATTGTATTGTTTGATGATTTCCTCCTGTAAAGATATTTTTATGTTGTCCATCTATTCCATTGTTAATACCTGTGATACACTTTCAGGTTTGAATTTATGTGGCGACTTGATATTGTACATACACCAACTCTCCTATACTAGACTGGTTGTCTTCCTGATTTGACTTCAGTGATTTTAGACCTTAGATTTGGCTAAATTCTTAATCCAAAATTGGTGTCATTGGAATGTTTAGTTGCAGATCTTCGATGAGGGTGGCAAAATAATCCATGTAACTAAAACACACATAAAAGTGGATTTGGAACCATACCTAAAATGACCAGACCGTTCCAAAATGGTATTTTAGCCGTGATTTCTATTTGTTGACAGGTGTATCATTTTGTGATTTTTTTGGAGGTGTTCCAAATGTTCCAATCCAATCCATTTCATTCTCAAAAGTTTCTATACTTATTTACTGACCAGACTCTCGAGAACGTCGCACACTCAAAACAGTTCAAGCCTGTATTTGCATTTTGTGGTGATTTCTTATAATTTGTGAGTGTAATTCTGATTTTTGTCTTTTGTGATTCTCTTAAATTGTGAGTATAATTCTGTTTTTTGTCTGTTGTGATTCTGATTCTCGTACCATGTTAATTTTCACGTTGTTGTAGTTATGATTTTGTTTGACTCTCGTTTCCCCTCTTGTGTTCCTAACTTTCATGTCTAATATTTTTTCCTTTGTTTTCTATGTTTGAATTAGTCCAAAGACAATATGAAGTTGTTGATTCTTCTATAAAACATTTACATTCTGCTACGGTCGATTGTGTTTGTTGCCACAGAATATGTTTTGGTACTTATGATTTGTTGCTGTTAATTTTGAAACTGCTCAGCTGTTCAGGTCCTTCATAGTAATTATATATATATATATATATATATATATATATATATATATATATATATATATATATATATATATATATATATATATATATATATATATATATATATATATATATATATGTATTACTTTTTTAATTTTGTAGATATTGGTTATTCTTCCTACACACAACATTGGACGCTCCTCCACCCTCTCAAACGTTGCGTCTCATGGTGTTTTGAGTTTTACATGGTGAATCATGTTCTCTATTCATTATATTGCATTTTGTATTGTTTCATGTTAACTTGTTTTATATGTTTCATTTTCATTATTTTCTATTATTATGTTCACCTATCTTGACTTATTTAAAACGAATAAAACTTAGTGATAATTAGTTAAAAATTTTATTTACAATAATAAGCTAGTTTAAAATAATAATTTAATTTTATGTTTATAAAAATTCTTTGATTTTTATATTTAAGAACTTTAATTTTTTATTTTTCATAACTTTTTAATTTAATTTTTAGTGAACATGTAATGTCAGTTAATAAAGAAAATTTTGAATAAAAAAATGTCAATATATTCGTAATGAATCATTGTTTTGAGAAAAAAAAAGGCTTTTAAAACAAATAATTTACAAATATATTTATTTGAGAATTTTCAATGTAATTTATCTCAAAAAACATTAAAAGTTTATTTAAAATATAATTTGCTTTTTAACGTCAAATTACTATATATAGATAAGCAGAGAGGAGTTTTTAATATAATTAGTGATTTATTTAATACGATGATAAGATTGTATATCAAGAAAAATTTTCACACACTTGAATTTAATTATTTTACATAAAAACGTGATTTTGACCATAATTTTTTTTTAATTTAAAAATATGTTATATAATAATTTATAATCTTACTAAGTATAACAATTACTATATAATATCCATATGAAATTTTATTAATAAATTTCTTTTATATTTTCCTATTAAAAATTTCAATATAGTTGTTTTATTCTCTACCATTAAAGCTATATTTCAGAGCATCTATTCTTCTTTTAATAAATCTCAATATACCACATTACTTACGAACAACTCACTATATTATTACAAATTTTACCTTAATAGTAAAATCTTAGAAAAACGTACACTTTTTTAGGCATCAAAATCTTATATAAAATTCAGCTGCAAATTTTAAACCTTATTCGTACCACTTCAAATTGATCAATATAAACTTCTTAAAATACGTGGACATACAATGAACACGTTTATATTGAAAAGGTTCAATCTAAAGTGAATCATAAATATACCACGAGATTTAAAATTTTAAAAAGACCAAACTTGGAAATTTACTCATTTAATAGATGACTATCAAAGGCTGACATACGCATCTGATTTATAAACCCCGTAGACAAAGTGAAGGAAAGGAAATGAGTTGAAATTTACTAAAAATAAAGTGAGGTTTGCGAGTGTGTTCGTTAGTACAAATAACGAAATGAAAAATTATCAGAGACAAAATGGAGCCTTTTACCGAGTACTGATACGGGGTCTAGTAGATCCATTTGGACAAAAAATATGAATTGTACAAACTAGTTAAGTTGCAAACAAATAAAAGTACCAAAGAAAGTATTAATAAGTGCAGACTATTCAAAACATGGATACAAACTGATATTCATAAAACACAATTTCTTTTTCATTTCCATCTTCAAATTTAAAGGTGGAACAAGCTGCAAAAGAGATCACCTAGATCCACGGGCATACCTCCTGTCTGGGCTACCATATGGAGAATATGGAAGTGACCTGGACCTATCCCTCCTAGATCTTCCAGCATAAGGTGGCGGTGAATGCCTTGGCGAATAGTCTCTACCACCTCGATATGGCGAGCGCCTTGGAGACCTTCCACGCTCACCACGATATGCATAATCTTCACGACCAGATCCCCCACCTCCCCCACCTCCCCCTCCCCGATACCTTCCTCGGTCACCGCGATATCCTTGAGACAATCAGCTGGAGTTCAGTAAAAGTTTTCATGACAAACACTAAAGACTAGATTAAACATCAGAAGACGGTCTCAAACTTACCATAATCTCTAGTACTTTTCAGACCAAGATAGTGCCCAGGTGTAGGAGTTCTTGCACGTTTTCTTCGTGACTGAAATAAAATACAGAGACTTACCATCTTTGGAGCTTATTTGACAAATAAATACTGCATAAATAAATCATCCAACTACCACTGGAAGCATAATAGGAAGAACCTCAAGAAGTCATTATTACCTAGGTAAAATCTATTAACACTGACACATTGTATCTATGTTTGTCCTTTAAAAGGAAGTTTAAACAACATAAACAGCCTAGCTTATGAGAAAGGGAAAAAAAAAGTTATATCCACACACATGATTAATGCCAGGTGTGAGATACCATAAAAGCCTGATTAGAAAGTTGTTGATAATGTCCGTTGATTAGTTGAGTTGAAAGTGAATGCTGATGTTGTAAAGTTGTTGGACAATATAGTTGCTATGTGTTTAGTTGATCAGAGGCATTTGATTAGTGCTGTTTAAGCTTGCCATTGATCAAGCTGTATCACTAAAGTTGAATGGATGAACTGATCATCTTTGATTGCTGCCAAAATAGCTGAAGCAATGTATTCTGAATATGACCACAAAACCTTCAAGTTAAGAAGAAAGAAAAAGCACAAGAATTTTTTAGCAACTACTAGATAACGTAAGAACACAGTACCCGCTCAACAGTGATATAGCGACCCTCTAAAACTGATTGATTGAGATATTTGATACAGCGGTTAGCATCTTCAACATTATCCATTGTGATAAAAGCAAAACCACGCGAAATGCGAGTGCGAGGCTCCACCACAAGAAAACATGATGCAACCTAAAAAAGAAGACAACCATTAACACCCATTCAAAGATATAGGGTTCACTCCAAGGAAAATTGTCACAATTCAGTGAAAAAGAGAAAATCAAATGACACTCACCTTCCCCTCTTTAGAGAAATGCTCCTCTAGGTCTCTCTCAGTGACCCTCGAAGAAAGGCCAGTGACATAAAGTGTATTCCCTGAATTTCTAGACTCAGACCTGGAACACGATTGAACAATGTTAAGCTCTTAACACATCACTAAACCAGAGCCAAAAAGCACAACAATACTTAATTTAGAAGTACTTAACAATATAAAATTTGTCTTCCGGTGGACACATGCCCAGACACAAGTAAAACGGAAAATGACTAACCTTTCATTACTTCTCGACCTTGATCTGAACAAGAAAGATTGTTTGGTCCACAGCATAGCCACAAAAGGAAAAAGTATTAGACACAATAGAAAGCATATAATATTAATTAAGAGGGATGTTAAGTCAATTATCATAAGTCATGGCACTAACCTTCCTCGACTTCTTGAGCGGGATCTTGGCCTTTGTTTTTCAAATGATCTTGACCGGGACCTAGACCTAGGCCTAGACCTAGACCTTGACCTGGACCTTGACTGAGCCCTCCATGGGGAAGGGGACCTTGAATTCCTGAAATATTCAATCACCAGACAAAAGAAAATGATCGCATTCATGTTGTTGACAGATGAATTCTACAGTTAAACTTGTTCACAGTACCCCAATTAGAAATTAACTCTGGACCCAGAGTATTTGGGCAGAGAATCTGAAATAGACCAAGTTAGGTATCCCTTCTTGAAAAAGGCCAAAAACTACAAGTTGTTCATGACAGTCCTATCACCTATGGCTTGAATTCAGGGATCCTTGGTGGATCTCAATGATCATCCCCAGATTCTCGCCAAGGACGAGAAAATCAAATCCTAGATCAAGGTCCGATGTCAACACCACAACAAGGTTATATACCAAGGGTAAGTCCTAAACACGGAACACAGCACAACTAAATACCTAAATCCATAGGTTACAATTCCAAATTTTCTTTCACAACCAAGGGTAATTCCAAATTTTCTTTCATCCAGTATTAGGGTTACAAACACACAGAAAGATGTTGTCAAATGCAACTCCAAGATAGTGCATCAGAAACAAATCGTTATTATCATAATCTAAGAGGATTGGAAGATTTACCTTCTAGGCGGGGAATCGGCCTGCAAAATAATTGAAAAATAAAACAAGAAATTAGAACTTCTTGGTCAAGTCATACATAAGAATCTGATTTAGAGGAATGGATTGAGAAAGGGAACATGCCATTTCGGCGGAGATCTCCAAAAGTAGACCTCTTGAACGGAGACGGAAAATCAATGATAGAGACGACCAAGCAGGGTAAGGGTTTTGTTTTGTCGATTTCGTGCAGCAATGAATTGACCTTCAATTCATATAGCGAACTCTTACAAGGGTCGGGTCATTAGGCCAATATTTTTAACCAGGATGGATCGGCCCATTAATATTTCGTGGACTATAAAAAAAGACCAAACAATTTTGTCTCAATTTTACAATGTTTAATCATGCTTCCAATATGTACATAGTGTGATGAAAACAAAATAAATATAAATGTTTTGAACATGCAAAAATAAATAAAAAATATTATTTATACTAATCCTTGCTAAATCTTACTTTAATCCTTGTAGTTTAGGATAAACAACCAATTTGTTCTTTCAATTCATTTAAAAAGACACATTATTAAATTTATACCATAATTCATTAAGCATGATAATAGGAATGACTAATTTCTTCATTTTTCTGTAAAAAAATAGTTTAGGTAGTGCTTCAAAGACCAAAATGTTCAAAAGACATGGATATTGGAGACTAAATTGTCTAAAAAACTTATTTCAAACATCTAACTATTAAGCCTCTATAATTTTGAGTAACATGTTCATTCATTCATTGAAATTATGAGTCTATGGTTTTATGGTTGTCTATTTCTATTTTTTAAATAATTTTTAACACAAACCTTCTAGGTTATATATAACAATTACTATATGGCATTAATATTTCAAGTTCAGAATATTTTATTAGGTTCTCTGTACCTATTTATAAAACTGTAAGCAATGCTAGTTCATATTTTTTATAAGATTGATGAAACAAAAATTAAGCTGAAAGTACAATAACAAGAACATGTTAAAACAATTATTCTATAGTACAATTATTCCTTTTGTTAATATAATTCAACATCCATTTAATGGTGTAAAAGTTATATCATTAAATAATATTGATTTTATAAATTTTTAAATTATAATCGACACTCTTTTTAACAACTGTTTTGAAATGTAAAATACTGTTTCTGTGTGTGTAGTGTGTAAGACTGAAAGACTAACTTTCAAAACATTGGAAAATTGAAATGATAACACAAAAAATATAAAAGAAAAAAATTATAATCACAAAAAAGTTAAAAGAAATTTTAGTAAAAAAAAAAATTATACAATTTGTGTTTTCACTCAGCGAATAAATATGATATTCTAACAACTCTCAATTATTAAAAAGACATCGACTAGAAAAGTTATTTGCGTAAAATCGATGATAATTTTCTCATAAAAATCAAATGAACAATCCATTCAACATAGAGTGAAGATAATTATTTTAAAAAAAGTTTTACTTAATAGTTAATATTTGTTTAATATAAAAAATTTTATATTCCTATAATATAGCATTAATGTGCTATAAAACATAAAATCACTAAATATAAAACAAATATCTCTATGTAATTTCAATTGTAAATTAAGAACTCAAACATAAGATTGAGCCAAATATATTTAGTATCATTTTGGTTACTTTAAAATATCAATTTTAGTTTAACAACTATTTTTGTTCATATATAACTACTTAACAATTATTGTAATACTAGTAAATATATAACACAATTTATTATTACTATTATATGATAAAAAGATTTTCAGATGATTATATAAAAAAATATCCAAATATCATTACTCTGAAAAGTTAAATTTAAAGACAAAAATAAAATAAATAACTAAATTCATGGATTAAAATTAAAATAATTTGTTAAATTCAAAAATTAAGATGAGAATTAATAATTAAATTAAAATAATAAAATGGCATGAAGTGATAATGAAGTTAAAGGGACAAATGAGACATGATTGAATGACCTAATGTAGAACTGTTAATGAAAGATGAATGCCAATATTGTGTGTGTGTGTAATATGGTCACACTTATGGCAAAAGGTTTCACAATTCAAAATATAGATTGAAATTAAATACATGGATATAAGATGTGTGTGCAAATTTATCAGCTAAAGAAGAGAGAAGGTCTCAGTGTTCGGAGCAGCAGCAACCTGGTATGGTAGCACAAACAACTATGTTTCATGTTTCTACCATTGCCCTCAATCCTCAACCTCACACTTTCCTCTCTCCCTTTCCAGTCTCCACCTCTTGCAACTTCAAACTGTCACAAACTCTCCGCTACCCCAGAAACTCCAATCGCCGGTCTCTGTCGCCATCGCTGTATGCGACATCCCAATTCGACGATTTTGAAGAAGACGTCATCGGTGACTGTGTCGTGTTCGAGGACGGCATCTTCGATGACCCCCTTTTCCACAACTCCGATGCTCTTCCTGTTGATAAGCCCAAGCTTGACAAGCCCAAGCCCAGTCGGAGAAAAAAGGTGGAGGAGAACTTGGGGGAGAATTTGGTTCCGGACAAATGGCGAGAGATTCAGGCGGAGATAAACATCACTAAGAAAGAGAGGCGTAAGATAGCGCGGGAAATAGAGTTCAACAGCAAGGTGGAGAAGAAGAGAATAGGGTTGATTCCCCTAAGGGATATGAACTTGGATGACTACAAGGCTTATAAGGAGGCCAGATTGGCGCAGATGAAACTTCTCGCTTACTCTTCTAGTTCTCCGGTGAACGAAGAGGTTCCCCAACCTGAAGCTGAATTGAATCATGACGAAGAGGTTCCTGAACCGGAATTGATCAGCGAACGTGTGGAGCCCAAGAATCCTAGATGGGCTGTTTATGGGAGGGGTTTGGAGGATGTCAGTGAGTTTTTCAATAGTGAAAACTATGACCCTGCTGCTAACACCACTCAAGGTATATCAATCAATTGTTTTTGTTTGTGTTTCTGCTCTATTGGTCTCCATTTTCGTGTTGAGGATTGCTAGGATTGTTTTGTGCTGGATGGATAGCTTATTCTTCTTTGAAATATGAACTAATCTAGTGAAAATTAATGCTTTGTTTGAGAAAAGAGTTAAAATTAGCTGTTCCCATAAATTAAATTTAACTTACCATGCAAGCTTAATTCATTTCATTTTTATTTTTTAATTGATTATTTACAAGTTTAGGTAAGCGGAAGCTGTTAACCAAGGAGGAGAAGTTTTTATTGAATAAGCGAGTACCAGACTTGGCAACTGCTACTTCAGTAAGTTTTGTGTTAAAAGGAAAAAATGACTGATATTATTTTACTATCGTTATGTTTTTTGTTGTTAATGGATAAATATTCTCTTGTTCTCCTTCAGTGTGAGAACTAATGATATTGCTGAGAAATCCCACTAATGATGATGTCAGTTTTTTTGGACTGGATACTCAGGTCATAGAAACCTTGTTGCATTTTTTTTTTTTTTTTGTGAGAATGATGATGATGAAGGGGAAGGGAAGAAAAATGGTTTTGATTCTGTTGTAGCCTTTGGTAAATATGCTCAATTTTTTTAATGGTCAATTCTAATATTATTTTCAGGATAAATGGCTTCCCCTGCACACTCTTGCTGCTTGTGGAGAATTTCAACTTTTAGATTCTCTGTTGAAGCATAATGTTGATATCAATGCTGTGGATAAGGTATTCCAGTTCTAACTTTTCATAGGCCAGATTGAAATGCTTGAGTCCGATATTTACTTTATTGATTTACTTTCTTTCCAGGATGGTTTGACTGCCCTTCACAGAGCTATAATTGGAAAAAAGCAGGCCATAACCAATTATCTCCTCAGAAACTCAGCTAATCCCTTTGTACAGGATAGAGTGAGTAAAAACCTGCTTAATAATTGGGCTGTCCTGTTGTAGTTGCATTTGTCCGCCTTTACTTGGTGATTTTTTGAGCTTTCTGCTCCCATTTAAAAATCACCACTGTTGTCATTCTATCTTAATCTAAGTGTATATTGTTCTCATAAGCTTTAGTTGCCTGTTGCTTATATGCGTATGCATTTATTTTGGCTGTTTATGTTATGATAACAGGAGGGAGCCACATTGATGCACTATGCTGTACTAACAGCTTCTACCCAGGCAATTAAAATACTCTTACTGTATAATGTGGATATAAATCTCCAGGACAATGTATGGTTAACTTTTCTCTTGATTATTTTTTCTACCTTCAATTTTTTATGGTGAGTTGTTTGAGAGCATAATTCATTTGCTTTGTCTTAGTATGGCTGGACACCATTACATCTTGCTGTACAAGCTCAGAGAACAGATTTAGTGAGGCTTCTGTTGATTAAAGGTGCTGATAAGACATCAAAAAACAAGGTAATTTTTTTGATTTCATGCTTTAATCTATCAATGTTAAAAAACCTTAGTGTCATGCATAATTTTAGCTGAATGTAGATTCTTCAAATCGGTCATTGGCACGATTAATTTTGTTGTTGTTACTGTAACTGGAATTGTACATATATGCTTAATGTCTGCTTCATGCAACTTTGCTTCAGTTGTTGCATATAGTATCTTCAAAAATTTCAGCTGTTACTTACTAAACTAGAGAAACCTTGGAATAGGGATTTAGTGTTCAATTTCTTTGTCTAACTACTTTATGCTGGCCATTTCTTTCATGCTGGTTTTTAGATTGCAATTTCTGTGGTTGTTTGTCTCAGGATGGTTTAACTCCACTTGACCTTTGTCTTTACTTTGGACAAAGTGCCAGAACATACGAGCTAATCAAGTTGTTCAAGCAGCCTCTAAGGCGAGGAAAACATGTATCAAGACGATAAATGGGCCAAGAAAGAAAACAAATTTTGAAATATTTGGACCGAAGAACGAAGATTAGCCCCTGACAAGTGTTGTGACAAGTGTTGCGAGACAGTTAGCATCCCTTCAGCATATGAAAATTTTAGGTCAACTATGATATTGCATAATATTTAAGTAAAATGTATAATTTAGATGGTAGGAATAAAGGAACGTTTTCATGAAAAAGAAAAGAAAAATAGCATGTCATTTTCTCAATGTGGTTTAATTTTTTTTTTTTTCATACAATATAACAAGCATACCAAATAACCTGTTTTACAAAAAAATCGGATTAGATTCATCGATCCAATCACTTCAATCGAGAACTGATCTAAAAATTTGTAAGTTACTTTTAAATAATTAAATTAAAATAAAATTGGAAAAATGGATAAAGAAATAATAAAATTGAAAAAAAAGACTGAAATTTTGAATCATTTTAATAAAAATAAATCATAAATTTATTTTAATATAATTTTCTTAAAAATATAATATTTTTTATTTAATATCAATATGTTAATTTTAAATAATTGTTATTTTGATTATATTTTTATTTTATTTTAATAATTATATATATATTTTTTAATATATTTTATATTTATAATTTTTATTATAATTTATAGTAGTTATGATATAATTTTTATTATTTTTAAAAAATATTATTATTAATAATTTTATTATATATTTTTTATATTATAAATATATTATTTTATTAAATTTGATTAAAGTTGGTTAAATCTTTGAAATAGTTACGGGATCGTCTATTTTAAAATATTAATTTTTCCTCTCATCAGCTTTGTACAATTGAAAGTTCTATAACTTTTTCATAAACACTTTTTTTATAAATTATTTTGTATACGTTTTTTCATATAATTTCTTTAAATTTTATATAAATTAATTTCATTTTTTTAAGTGGTTATGAAAAATTTATCCAAGTAATATATTTTGATTCTTAAGATGTGGTTAGGTGTTTGACCTATTGTCTGTGTGTATGAAGAATGTGAATCAAGAAATGTCAATTTTTTAATGGATATTAGTGTTTAATGAATTAGTCTTTAGCTTTTGATAAAGGGATACCTTGGTTGTCACCGGAAATTTGAACAGAGTTGTGGCGAGTGAATTAATTGGTTAAGCCATAGGAAAAAAAATACACCTAATTTTGTCAAATATTTCATAAATTATTTTAAAAAATAAAATACAATAAAATAATAACAATATAAAAATCTTTAAAAAAACTATTGGATGAATATTAAAAAAAAAAATTGTTAATATATATATATATATATATATATATATATATATATATATATATATATATGACTTCTATGATTTCACATGAGATATTAACAAAGTTATCACTTAATAATGATAAATTTATAAAAAATATAACTTCAACATAGTTACGAATTAAAAAAAAAAAGAGTGGGAAAATATATAATTGTACATGTCTTAAACTATAAGAAGTTTCATAGTTTTTAAAATAAAGAAATACAGTTGTTAATATTTCCACTACTTATTGTTTTAAAAAATAATTATATCCGATTTTAATTTTTAATTTAGTTTAACTATTCAACGATTTTTTAATGGTCGATCAATATGTTAGTTATACTATAAATACGATATTAATAAAAAATATAATTGCAAACAATTTTTTAAGAAAATAAATATTCAATTGACTATTGTATTTTTTTTATAATAATAATATCAGTTTAATAAAATAAAAAATTAATAGATTATGATGATGCCAAAATTATTCAATTTAACAAATTTTTAAACTATTTATAAGAATAAAAAAAAACCTATTTTAAATGTCCAATAATTATTGGTAAATTATAGTATGGCATTTATAATCCCAGCACTTTTTGTTTTACATTATTTTTTAATAATCTTTGTCAATATTATTTTTGTTATAATCTTTATCAATATTTTTATTTTCATTTTTAATAGCTTAAATATTTATCTTAAATTTTAGTTTTAAAAAGTATATAAATTTTTATTTTAACCTTCATAAATAATTTTTTTATGTAATCTATATAAACATATTACTTTTTATGTGGAATGGTAACATACATAATGAGCGTGTAAAGAGGAAAAAAAAGAAGAAGTTGTGAACAAAGACACACTCTATTGTTATTATTTGTATGTATGTGTGCCTTTATTCATAAGAATTTTATATTTTGTTTATACCATAATTAATAGTAATTAAATTATATTTTTAAGTTTTAAGATTTCTTTTTTAAATCCAACTTTATTTTAAGCTAGCATTTGCAGCTGTAGTAACTGAACATGGAAGCTACCATGTTCCATTCTTCAAAGCTTGTGTTCAATCCTGAACCTCACAATCTCTTCTATCACCTCTTCACTTTTTCCTTCACCATCTCTCCCCACCGGTTTCAATCTCTACAATCCCTTCAATTCCCCACCACAAAACGAAATATATACTGCCAAAAAAACCGCGACATCGCCTTCGAGGATGGCATCTTCGAAAACGACAGAGTTTACAGTCCCACCACTAACAACACCACCAAACTCAAAGCGAGATCAAGGAAGAAAGTGTCGCCGATTGTGTGTGAGAATTTGGTTCCGGACAAGTGGAGAGAAGCTCAGGCACAGACCAAAATCACCATTAACGAGAGACGCAAAAAGAAGAGAAGAAAGTTGGTTCCTTTCAAGGGTGAGGAGAAAATTGGGCAATATAGAACTGTGGAGAAGAAGGGAAAAGAAAATGGAAAAGGGTTGAGTCGATACGGGGATGTAAATTGGAACGAGTACAAGGCTTCTAAGAGGGCAATATTGAATCACCTGAATCCTCTGGTTCTCAAAAACCCTTCTAGGTTTCGCATCAATGAGAAGGTTCCAGAACCTGACTTTAATGGTGAGCGTGTAGAGCCTAAGAATCCAAGAGGGGTTGTTCATGGGAAGGGTATGCAGGATGTCTTACAGTTTTTCAATAGTGGGAGCTACAATCCTACTGCTAACACCGCTAATGAAGGTGAACAATGTTTATTTTCCAGGAAGTTAAAAATAATAATTTATTTAAGTTTAAAATCAGTGTTTGGAGATGCTAAAATCACTTGTTGCATTTGTACGAATTTTGTAGTGTTGGGATTGTGGTGCTAATTATTTCGTGCCTAAATGATTCATAGATCGTCGGAAGTTGTTTGTTATTAATAAGGAGGAGATGTTCTTGTTGAACAAGCGAATGCCGGACTTGGCGCCTGCTACATCAGTGAGTATTCTGTGTCAGATGTACAAATTACAATGATTTATGCTTTGTCGACATTATGTTTGTATTATTGCAACGAAAAATTCTATAGTTCTCCTTCGTTGTGATGGCTTACTAGGCTTAGTGATCATTTGTTCCACCGATGTTGTTCAGCAATCTAAGTAGTTGTTGATGTTTTTTTGTTGTCATTTATCTATCTTCCTTTGAGAGAGTTTGCTGAATACTATACTTTTTGGGCTAATGCTGACATTATTTTCAGGGTAAATGGCTTCCTCTGCACACATTTGCTTCATGTGGAGAATTTTACCTTTTAGATTCTTTGTTGAAGCATAATGTCGACATCAATGCGGTTGATAAGGTATGCAAATTCCAACTTTTCATATGGTAGAATATAAATTAGGGAGTCGTTGATTTAAACTAAAGTGATTTACTTTGTTTCTAGGATGGTTTGACTGTCCTTCACAAGGCAATTGGCAAAAAGCAGGCCATAACCAATTATCTTCTGAGAAACTCAGCTAATCCGTTTGTGCAGGATAAAGTGAGTTAAAAAAAAAACTAATTCTTGAAGTTTCAAATGTGAATCTTTACTTGCTAATTTTCTTCGAAGTTTTTATCTTGTCCTTTTCCTTTCCCCATTGAGAAATTGTCACTCTTATCATTCCATCTTAATATAACAGCATATTAGTATCATAGGATTGATTGCATGTTGCTGATAATTTTATGCATCTACCTTGTTGTTTATGTATGGAAACAGGAGGGGGCCACTTTGATGCACTATGCCGTACAAACAGCTTCTACTGAGACAATTGAATTACTCTTATTCTATAATGTGGATATAAATCTTCAGGACAAAGTATGGTCAATTGTTTTTGTAATTAGGATATATAAATTGTAATATTTTTCAGTGCCTTTTGAAAACTTAATTTGTTTACTCTGTTTCAGGATGGTTGGACACCATTACATCTTGCAGTTCAAACTCAGAGACCCAATTTAGTGAGGCTTCTGCTGCTTAAAGGTGCCAATAAGACATTAAGAAACAAGGTATTGTCTGTTGATGTCTACATATAAATGTGAAAGGACCTTGATGTTATGCACAATGTTATTTGAATATTGATGTTATTACTAGATCATTAGTAAAATGTAACCGTCATTTTTAGACTTTTCTCTCTGTCATTACCAACCTATTTGGGTGATCTGAAGGGAAGTCCACTTTGATATCCGAACCCTTATTCACAATTTAGAAATTGTCTGCATGTGCCTGTAAACCAGTGAAACATTTCCAAAGTCATTATGAATTTGTTAGTTGTTGAAAAGAATTTCATAATTAAGTGAGGAATTGCTAAACTTTGCCAATCTATTGTTTGTTTGCTAAACTTTAAATGACTGATCCAGTGACTGGGTCAAGTTGACAAATTTTTTCTCAAATCTTTATGACATGATGGAACATGGTTTTATTGAAATTTTGGTTTTTGTATGAGCATGAACAGTTAAATAGGTGACCTCAGATAAGTTATGAATGGTTTTGTTGCTACTGTAATTGAGGATTTTATAATTTTTGCTGTGCTTAGTTGAGGGAAGAGAAAAGTATGGAAAAGAAAATGCTTGAAAGGAAATAGAGGGAAATTGTAAAGGCGTATGTAAGAAAAATAAAATACACACCTATGACTTTCAACATGTCTAATATACACAAAATAATCGATAAAAATGTTCTGTACTCAATTCACTTCATATGAAAACTTAGTCAATTCATTACACAATACACCGTTCGAGTTAATGATATATAATTTCATAGTGCACAACAAAATATAATAATAGCATTCCTATTCATTCAAAATATACATTACACATGGTGGAATAAGTTTAATATGAAGTCCAGTTTTCCAAAATATCTTACTACAAACCTAACCAAAGTCTTTCATAATATACATCACAGTTCACATCTATCCAAAGTCTTTCAAAATATACATTACATTAATAAATACATCCAAAAACTTGTAATATACATTAGTGGTCCATCTTGCAAATTCGTTTTAACCAACATGTCCCTCACATGTATTATGAAACTTCTCTTCATGATTGTAACTTGTTCATGCATCAGCCTTTTGCACTTTTTAATAGCCACAACCTGATGATCTGGTACCTGTGACAATTTTTCATTCAACAGAACCACTAACAATTGCCTTCATCACTCTCTTGAACCCAGTTGTTAGTTTATCAAATTGTGTATCAATTACAACAACCCATTGGTGTTTTGCGTTTGCCCTACAAGGTGTGGAATTTCCAGCCAAGGGATTGTATTGAGTCAAATATGTAGTTGACTAAAAGTAATCACTTTCTTTTCTTTCAAACCAAAGACATATACCTTTACAAATTCCCTTCATTTCCTCTCTCTTTCCACTTCAACCAAATAACGTTTTTTTTCCTCTCTAATTCCTTTTCACACTTTTATCTTCACTCAACAAAATGTAGCATTAATGTTCTCCATGTCTGGAATTTCATGAAACTTGTCAGTTTTACATACTTGCATCTTTAGATACTCCAGCTGTTACTTATTAAACGAGAGAGAAACCTGGGAATAGTGACTGAGTGTTCAACTTTTTGTTTACATGGTTAATGCTGGTCATTCTTTTTTGTTGATTTTCAAATTGCAACTTCTCTGTTGTTTGTTTCAGGATGGTTTAACTCCGCTTGACCTTTGTCTTTACTCGGGTCAAAGTTTCCATACATATGTGCTAATCAAGTTGTTAAAGCAACCTCAAGGGTGTCTTTGACATGGTGTGTCTCTGGTACCCATTTTGTCCTTGTGAAACCTATTTGTCTTCTCATGCTGATCAAGTAAGAAGGATTTTAATCACCGGTGTCCCCATTATTACTTTCAATCATTGATCCTTGCGATGTGGGAACTGAATGGGTAAATAATCAATTGCTAAAGATTAAGACTTCCAGTCGAAGTATTGTGACTTAATGAGGCAAGTCACCTTGGGCCAGAGGTAAGGAGATTTGTTGTTCTTTCTGTTCAAAATTTCAACTGACACCAAAAGCAGCAAATTTTTCGTTTTCATTCCCATTGTGCTGTTATGGATTTTTTTAATGTTTTTGGTTGGTGCAATGAATCGTTTTTTGTGATAAAATTGGTGGATTTTATTGTAGGTCAATTGTTGTCGAAATCCAAGCCAGGGAGTTTGGTACCTACTTCTGGAAAACCTAATGATAGTGTAAATGAATCAAGTTTGAATTTGATAGGCACTTTGTAGTATGTCCTTTATACTTTGTGTAAGGGAGATGAATGTATAAGAAATTATGTTGTAATGAGGTCGATAGTGTACAGAAACAGATGCCTCAACCAAAGATATTATCCTGAGCTCTGGTTTTGTTCGCCTTGATGGGGATGGTAGTGATTATCCGGGCCAAAATAATGTGTTATTTCCCAGTTTGTGATCATTAAATAGCAAGAAATAGGTAAGGATCATCAATTTCACATAAGGAGTAGGTCATGGATGGAAGTTGCATCATCATATTCAGATTTGTTCTGGATGATGTCTAAAATTTAATTTCATGTTTATGAAATGACAGAATATTTCTTTCATTTTGTTGTCTTTGCTGATATCATTCTTCATTGTGTCCGTGAAACTATATAAAACAGAAACTTGAACCTCCATCCTTGACATATTTTTTTATTATGAATGTAATTTAAATACATAGCATTATAGTTCAAGAATTTGTATACTATCATCCAATCTTGTGCGCTATGGATGCCAAAATTGTTGACATGTTTAATTACTTAAAACATAAAAGTAATTTGAATGTGATTTTTATTTGGTTGTCAGTGAAAATCTTTACATTGATTATTTGATTAAACATATTTTTTATTTGATTATGTTAAGTGGTAAAAAGTTGATTTAATTATGTCTTGAATTGTTATGAAACCACTTAATTTATGTTAATTCTAATCTATTTTTCTCTTAATATAAGATGAATTTGAGAATACCTTGATACAAGAGTAAGGAGCATAACTGTTAGCATAATCGAAGTAAAATTGAAAGAAAAAAGAACGCTTAAGCGAATGAATGATGCGAGGTCCGGCTCAAATTCTATTATAAAAAGATAAGTTGTGTTTTGAGAAAAAGAAGCGGTTTTGGAGGAGAAGAAGCGCGACTACTGCTAGGGTTTCATCCAATCTTCATAAATTCTTCACTTCTTCGTTAATTAGAGTATTGTAATGGCTAACTTCATTATCTTAGGATTCGGTGCACTTCCTTTGAACTCTTTTGTATCATGGTGATATTTTGAGATATTAATCTATGCTTTGATATTGTTATTATTATCATTTATGCTTTGGAATGATTTATTCTTGATGTTTGGGGTATGATTGGAAAATATATTTTGAACCCAAGATCACGGAAAGAATATTTGTTACGTTAATTGTCAAGAATGGAATGAATGTATCAATTGTTTAACACCCTAACCCTAATGCTGGAAAATCTCTTAATTATGTGAGGAATCAACATTTATTAGGTTTTCTTATGAATTTCATGTGTGAGGAATCAACATGGATGATTTGAGTAGGTGACATCAACATTGTTAGGTTAATTGACATTCTTAATTGATGTAGCCATTACAAGAGAGGGATAAGGAAGGAAGTCAATCCTAAGTACCTTTAATTGATATTTTCTCAACATTTTATAATTCTTTGTCATTTAATTTCAATTCAACTCTTATTTGTAAAATCCAATCTGTTTAATCTACTTAGTAAGCATAATTGGGAATTTCCATTGAAACTGTTACTCGTGTGATCGATTTTTATTTAATTAAAATACTATACTGCGATTGATAATTTTGGTACGCTTGTCAATAATTCAACAAGTATTTCTGGCGCTGTTGCCGGAGAACAATGTTCTTTGAGAATTCTTTGTTTAGCTTATTGAGTATTTTATTTTTATTTTTATTTTTATTTCTGATTTTGTTTTATTTTTCAGTTTTAGTTTTTTTTTAATTATTGTCTTGTGCTAATCTTTGATTGAGTTACTCTTTTGATTTATGCGTTTAAGAGGACAGGTATCTTCAGAGCAGTTAGAATTTAATCCAGAGATTGAAAAAACAGCTCGGAGGAATCGGGGTAGAAGAAGAAGGGAAACTCAAGAACAAGCCACAAGAGAATCTGCTAATTCTTTTTTCACACTTGATTTACTAGACCCAATTATAGAAGATATGGCGGAAGAAAGAGCAAATCTGAACCCGAATCTAGATCCAAATATAAATCTAAATCAAAACCCAAATTCAAATTCACCTAGAAGAACTCTCAGAAATTATGCTATGCAGCATGGTCCAAGACACTTTTCCAGTATTGCCATACCGGATGATCAAACATTGCAGATGAATCCAGCTTTCTTAAGCTTGATTAGTGCTCATCAATTCACTGGATTGGATCATGAAGACCTTTACATTCATTTGTCTACTTTTTATGAGTTGATTGGTACCATGAGATTTAGAGCAACAAATCTTGAATCTCACTACTACAAAATATGCTTTCAACGTCGCCATTTAACGTCGGTTCAAGCTGATCCGACGTTAAATACACTTTCAACGTCGGTTGGTTAAAAAACGACATTGAAAGTCGAATGTTGGACACATTCTACGTCGGTTCTTAGTCAACCGACGTAGAAAGTACTTTCTACGTCGGTTCCCATATGAACCGACGTTGAAAGTCTTTTTTTTATTAAAACTCACACACTTTAGATAGCGGTTCTAAGAGAACCGCTATCTAATACATACTTTAGATAGCGGTAGAACCGCTATCTAAAGTACACTTTAGATAGCGGTTCTAAGGGAACAACTATCCAAAGTACACTTTAGATAGCGGTTCTAAGGGAACCGCTATCTAAAGTGCACTTTAGATAGCGGTTATAAGGGAACCGCTATTATATCCTCTCAATTATGATCGATCATTTCAAGTTATGATCGATCAGAATCTTATTTCGCTCGAGCGAGAGCAGTGTCGCTCAAGCGAAATACAACCCGAGAATGCCAATTTTGTGCAGGGGGCGTTTCGCTCGAGCGAGAAGGGTGTCGCTCAAGCGAAATACAACCCGAGAATGCCAATTTTGTGCAGGGGGCGTTTCGCTCGAGCGAGAAGAGTGTCGCTCAAGCGAAAAACATTTTAGATAGCGGTTAACGTGGAACCGCTATTATATTGTTTCAATTATGATCGATCAGAATGCAGTTATGACCGATCAGAACTATTTTAATCGATTAAATCTCGTTTCAATCGATTAAAACAGTTTCTGCACAGCGTTTTAATCGATTAAAACTTGTTTTTATCAGTTAAAATAACTTGAAAAGTTTTACTAGAAAGTTTTGCAGTATTTCAATCGATTGAATCGCGAAACAATCGATTAAATCAACTTAGAAGATTTTTTGTTAAGTGTTTTAATTGATATAAACGTTGTCGTATCAGTTAAAACAAATCATTAAAGAATCAAGAACGTATTAATGGATTAAAAGAAGTTTTAACAGATTAAAACTGCACTTTTAACAGATTAAAAGAATCTTTTAGCAGATTAATTAAACCATGAGTTTTGAAAATCTTCTATAAAAACAGTTTGGCTTGAACTTTTTAACATACATTGAATATATCATCTTTTACACATCCTTGAGCAATCAATCAATCGCTAATTGCGACCGAATTAAAGTGGGGGTTGGCTCGAGGTTAGAGTTCGACGTCACTAGGGTATGCGTTAGGGTTCGAGCTCCGGCTGGGTTTGCGTTGGGTTTCACGAGCATGACAATTGGGTTTGGCTTGACATTGGGGTTCGATGTCGCCGAGTTGGGGTTCGGCCTCGAGTTCGTCGAGGTTGAGGCTAGGGTTGAGATTCGAAGTTGCTTGGGTTTTGATTGGGTGTTTTGGTCACTCAGATTTGAGATTCAAGGTCACTTGGGTTGGATTTCAAGCTTGAGGTCGAGTCATGCATCTTGGGTTAAAGATCTTCGAAGCTGGAATCGGATTTGAGATTCAAGGTCACTGGGTTGGATTTCTACAAGTGATATTTACACGGATTTGTATGTTATTATCAAAAAATTCAAGTAGTTTAGTGGTTGGAGTATCGACCTCCAACTCTAAAGTACTGGGTTCGAATCCTGCCAATGACAATTCTCTTAAAAATTAAAAAACTTCTAAAAAATATAATATAAAGAGATGGAGGACCTAATAAAAATATAATATGAAGAGAGGGGAGACTTCTAGATAAATAAAAGGGGGTAAAGGGGTTGTAAATAAATAAAAATTATTAATTTAAAAAATCATACTTTCAACGTCGGTTCTAACTAAACCGACGTTGAAAGTCGACTTTAGATAGCGGTTCCCTTATAACCGCTATCTAAAGTCGACTTTCAACATCGGTTTATTAGAACCGACGTTGAAAGTTACGACTTTCAACGTCGCCTAATACAACGTCGGTTATTAAACCGACGTTGAAAGCCTTCCAGAACCGACGTTGAAAGCTTTATTTGTAGTAGTGTCTGCATATTTGAGATTATTTCTTTTTTCTTTGGCAGGTAGGGCAAAGGAGTGGCTGAAAGCATATTCGAATCAGAGTTTGACTAATTGAAGTAGTGTAGAAAAGAAGTTTTTTAACAGATTTTTCCCACCATCCCACTACATTAAAGCAAAATCCGACATCACTTCTTTCAGACAAGGAGCAGATGATCAATTTTGTGAAGCATGGGAGAAATTTAAATCACTATTGAGAAGAAGCCCAAATCATGGATTTGATGACGTTGCTCAGTTGAATATTTTCTATACTGGGTTACGACATGATGCAAAGATGCCATTAGAAACTGCAGCAGGAGGATCCATGTTGGATGTAGAAATTGATCATGCCACTAGAATTATTAATGCACTAGCTTTTACAGACCAACAAGCTCAACATGATAGATATTCAATTCAAAGGAAGGGAGTCCTTGAACTTAACACCACAGATGCTCTCTTAGCCCAGAATAAAATTTTGACACAATAAATTGAAACATTGACCCAGAAAATAGAGAAATTACCTCAACAAATGCACACAGTACAATCTATTCTTAATCAACAGATGAGTTGTGACGTGTGTGGATGTGATCATGCAAATGAACAATGCTCTTATCAATGCAGCATTCAACAAGAAGAAGCTAATTATATGGGTACCCAAGGTAGTAGTCAAAGTAGACAAGGTAATTTTCCTAATCCCAATAATTATCAGAATAATTTTGCACAAGGATGGAGAGAGAATCAAAATCAGAATCAGAATTTTGGGTGGAACCAAGGTGTTAGCTCATCTACTAGACAACAGTCATATCAACAACCCCCATATCAACAGCAACAACAACATTATCCTTCAGTGCTTGACAGAATAAGTAAATTGGAGGATATTGTAGAAAAATTCATGCAAAACACTATGGCTAAT